GGGGGGGGGGGGGCGAGGGGGCACAAAGAGAGTTGTCTCCGAGACTAGGAGGACAAAATCAAGCGACCGGGAAGTAATAGAAGAACATCTGGTTGTGATTTGTGTTGTTGCGATGTGTGCAAAGTTTACGGTATGCCCTACCGCCATACGCGTGCGGTCAAAGCGATAGATACACGATACACGATACAAGATGCAGTGCATGCTCGGAGTGTACCAAGCGTTCGTCGCGTGTGCGGTGCAGTGATTCAGAGCCGCGGCGTGGAAGCGATTGTGTGTGTTCTGCCGACGGCCCAACCTGTCTGTGATATCTAACAAGTGGTTTGTGCACATGAATTATGGGCGCAGCGATAATCGTGGTTTGGGAGTTTCGACGCCGGTGCTGGGTCGTTGTGTGTATTTTTGTTTCGACCGTTTTGCCACTTGATAAAATAGTGGGGAAAAAAGAAGCGGGCCATGTTTGTTGGTTGCCTTGCCCGTTTATCTTGATCGTTGTCGTCGTTGCTGTCGTCGACTGGGCACACGCCCTCGTGTGGACTGACGACGGGAGTAGATACTAGACGGGAGTTGGAGCACACGAAGGTCGGGGCGAACAAGAGTTTGAGGGGAAGGTGTTGCGGTGTGACACCCGCTTTGTTACGAGACTATCGGACTAGAGGCGTTGCGTGGTATTCTAGAGGTGCCTCTTGCGTGCTGTTTCTAGTCACTCAACGCAGGAATTCATCTCGCCAGTAGACTCTCGACCTGTAGGCTCCGAGACGAGCACGCATAGGTAGGTGTTGGCGGTTTTGCGCACCGCACACGGAGCCCCCCCCCCAACATGCCACCAGCGGCCTCAACCTTACGTGACATCCCACAGTTTGAGATAATCCAAGACCAGCAGTACATGACCCTCTGCCCTCTGTTGCTTTTTGCAAAACCCTGATAGTAATATTGTCATTCACACCGCCACGAACCGCGACGACGCAGTGTGAGCGCCGATATGACCGTCAAGCTCTGGGATATCGAGGCCGGCATGAACATCAACACCCTCTCGGCACACGAGCAGCTGATCCAGGACATCGTGTGGGACTTCTACGGAAACACGTACGCCACCTCTTGCAAGGACAAGAGCCTCAGGATCATCGACGCGAGATCGCCTCAAGTGGCGCAGGTGTGTGACATACGGTTTTGTTGGAAGATGGGATTTTGAGCAGCTAATTTATCCCCCACTTTTTTGGTTTTGCTGCTGTGTTGTGATGAAATGATCGCGCGCTTCTTTTTTCATTTTCGTGTTTCCATGATGGTTGTACTTGTATTATTGGTTACGCATAGATAGCATGACCGCGATGAATAGTCTGTCCAATGAAAAGACGACCGTGTTAGCAGGTACATCCCGCGAAGGGGTTTAAGCGTCAGAGAAATGTGCGACGCCCGAAAGTACCAAGACATAGCTAGCTTCTTGCAAGCCCTCTTGCGCCTTGCCCAACCGAACCGTGTGGGGCGCGCGAGTGTGTGTTTAATCATTCGTGCCATGTACCTGCCATCGGAGTAGAGTACCCATTCGCGTGAGAGTATGCTTACCTCTTTGTTGCCGATTTTTTTTTTTTCCTTGCGTTCCGCGTCTCATGTCCTTTTCGTGTTGCCACTCGTTCGTTTCTTCGTTTGTTGTTGGTTTGCAGTCCGTAGCGATGGCTCACGAGGGAGCACGTTCCTCTAAGATCACCTACCTCGGCACCAAGGAGAAGCTGGTCAGCGTGGGGTTCACGAAGCAGAGCCAGCGGCAGTTCAAGGTGTGGGACCCGCGAAACCTGTCCAAGGAGATCAAGAAGATGGAGATCGACCAGGCGGCAGGTTCGTCTGCCTGCTGTTTTGACTCTGGCTTAGGTTTGGCTGCGGATTGTTGTCCCCGTGCTTGTTGTTGATGCCGCGCCGTTAGTTTCTGCTGTCGTCCTTTGTGAGGCCTGGCTGACAGAGCATCCTCTCATTGTCTGGGCCGATGCTCACCGTTCCCAACGCTTTTTTTTTTCTTGTTTTTATTTTTTGCCTGCTGCCTGCTGCGCTCGAATCCCATGCGCCGACAACGCGCGGTGAATACTCGCCGCCCGCCCGGCGTGATACATGATTAGGCGTGATCCTTCCCTTCTACGATGATGAGAGCTCGCTGCTGTACTTGGCGGGCAAGGGAGACGGCAACATTCGGTACTACGAGGTGCGTCCATGCCTACCCTACATGTAGGTCCGGCAACACAACCGAATTGAGGCCGAACGAAAGGGCGGACGGACGTCGTTGGTACGTCGTGTTTTGGAGTGTAGGGTGGGGAGGGGTATAGTGCTGTCGTCGTCGCTGGCGTGCACACGTGTAGGTACCTCAAGAGCTTGTTCACGTGTGCACAAGGACGAAACAGCTCGGTATTGTAGCTTGTATGCATACCTGCCGATGGTTTGATTGCAAGCCAGAAATGATCGTGTGTGCCAGTCAGGAGCGGCGGAAAAAGTTAAGAGGAGTCAAGCCACACAGCAACGCGCGTTCCAATCCAATGCAATGCGCTACATACCACAGGCTCATACGCAGACGCCCAGCGCACTGCACCCACAAACAAACGAGGCATGCACCACATGAGTAAGCCCCCTCGCCCCCGCAACCTTTCCCTCGCGATGATTGACGTATTATTAGTGTGTGGACGAGAACCCGTGGTGTTTCGCCATCAGCGAGTTCCGGTCGACCACGGCGGCGAAGGGGATGGCCATGATCCCCAAGCGGGGCCTGAACGTCATGAAGTGCGAGACGGCGCGGCTGCTCAAGCTCACGTCCAACTCGATCGAGCCGCTGAGCTTCGTCGTGCCGAGAAAGGTGCGTGCGTGCCGAGAAAGGTGCGTGCGTGCCGAGAAGAACAAGCTTGAGAGCGCGGAAGCGAACCCCCCCGGCTAACCCCCAATTTGTTTTCCGTGGTTTGGAATTGGATTCTTGCTGGTAGGAGGATTTGGATGTGCGTACGGCGGAGTCCTCTCTTGGGTCATGTGTAGGGTTTTGTCGGCGTGTGTTCATGCTCTGTTGTGTTTTAGCTACTATAGGGGGTAGCATTTTCTCACCGACATGCATACATGCAGTTGAGCAGTGGTACGTGATGTTTCTACGAATTGTGTACACGGAAGTAAGAAACACACTCTCCCCCACAGGAAGTCGTTACAATACTTGATGTCTCGGCACGTTCGACACGTCTGCCCCCCCCCCCCTCCTTTGTGACCCCCCGTATCCCCTAACTCCTACTCCTCGACTTTAACCCTTCCC